ACTCTACGGCCTTACATGAGACTGCTAACTTTTGAAACTTGCATATATAGTCAATATTAATAAAACTAAAGCATACAGACGTACAATGCTATGAAAACTTCTACGGACAATTCAGTGTCCAAATTTGCACCAGGTATAGTCCAATACCACAGTACCATAAACCCCAATGTCCCCTCATACAGAAGTGTTAGCTTGATCATTACATAATGTCCACAACACAAATTAAAAACTAGTATTTTTTCTGAGAAAAAATCAAGAAGATGGGTAATCATTCACAGTCCCATCATATACATACACAATCTGATGTCTCTTGTTAGTCTGTTTGATGTTTCTGAAATTCGTTCTTTAAGTTTCATCCAAGAAACTACTAAATAATGGGTTTAAATAGCCTCCAAATTCTGTGGTCTCTCAACGAGTAGGCATTGGCCAGATGCTCAAAAAGTTGGTTATTTCAAACAGTCCAGACTATCAGCTACATGTATCTGCTATAGTATCAATGGTGATCACTTACACCAAAAGCCATTTAAAGAGTGGCCATTGATCAGCATGATAATGTACATTGAGTATATACAACAAGCTGTTCTGTTCAGTAGTTCTTTGCTGGGGACACGATTTTTAACAAGGACAAAGAATCACAGATAATCTAGTGACATTTTGTGGTAAACTTACCATACTAATCGTCATCTAGCTGGTAATCCAGTTATTAAATATTATTAATTCCACTCAAACAGTAACACAATGTCAAGTATTAAAAAAAAACCCAATACCTTGTCGATATATCCTACTAGAGCTGTTGGAGTGTGGTATCTGTCACAAGCCTTGAAACTATAAGTTACTTGATGTTTATCCAGTTGATCTACAGATGTTCCATGTTTGTACAATCCAGGCATGAGAAGGTCACCTTTTCTAGAGGGGTCAGCATTTCTCTTTCTTCCTGCATTCTTAAAACCATAAGTAGTTCTCACAGGATTTCCATGTAGTTCCTCAACAAAATCTTTAATGTCATAGGTCCCAGGAACTGGTGTGTCCTGTTACCATGAAGACAAAACATTTAATAGACAGTACATTGGAAGATCTGACTGACGACATACACAGGCTTTAGGGGCTTTAATTAAGACACCTAGCAAGGCCGTTTAAGTGAATATATGAAAGATCATATATTTGAACTGCAGAGAAAGATATGAAGACACGATTGATCATTGCAGTTATTCATACAGCTTAAGCAGTTGTGAAATTTAAGACTGAAGAAAAAAATTCAGGCTTGACGGGCTTGAACGGGATTAGCTTGATAGCTCAGTTGGTACGGCACTGCACCATTAATTTGGCTCATATCCAGGCTGAAAATATCCAAAAAATGCATTTTTGTTAAAAAGCTCCATGTATCAATGGGTAAATAAAGGCCTGGAAGAGAACACTTTAGGTTGAGTTAATTACTAACTGTATGTGAAGATTTCAATGAGATAAGAAGGCCACATTGTCACATTGCAGTCTTGACATTCACTAGGCAAGAGCAGCTGAATGTCAAAATAATGCTTTTGATCTAGTGAGAGCCAAAAAATAAAATTTTGACCTACATGATCAATTTCTACCCTGGGTCAAAATTTTATTTTTAACAAAGGTGGTTTTAGTTTGAATTTAATTTTCAGGAATCTTACTTTTCACTACAACCAAGTCAGGTAATGAGTATTTATACCTAAGGGTGAGGAAGCAAACATCACATTTGTCTTGAGGAGATATCAAGCTTAGGGATTTGTAACATGAGGTCACCAATCTTGCAGGTGATCAATGAAATAACTGATGTTTTCAAAAGGCACTTAATGGTATATCGCGGAACTAACTGTGAGTGTCTAGCAGGTCACGCACTTTCAAAATGGCTTTATTAACCAATGTTTTGTAACAAATACTGTTACTACTGTGTGATAGTAATAAGGGCTCAACCTGAGAAAGCCTCAAAAAATACAAACTAAGAACCTCTCAGAATTTCAAAAATTAAGACCTACATTGTAAGAAACCCCAGAATCTCAAAAACTAAGACCTGACTTTGCTTTAATTTGAAACTTAAATCAACAATGCATGTAATTTTTGCAGCCTAAAACTGATGTTTGCTTTGAAGATCTGATTCCTGTTTGTCAATCTTTGATATTTCCCATTTGGACAGGCTACACTGTCACATTATTTTATGCATGTCAACCAAACTCCTGTACCCAAAAGAGTGACCGAAACAAGTTTCATGATGATAGCAATTTTTTTTAGTAAGCTCAAAAGATTTGAGCATTGCAAAACCAAAACCAAGTGTCGAGAACAAGGCCGTTATTTTTTCAGAGGGGCTCTTAGTTCTTTTTTTTTTTGAGGTTCAGAGGGGGTCTTAGGTCTTAGCTTTTGAGATTCAGGTGGGGTCTTAGATCTTAGTTTTTGAGGTTCAGAGAGGGTCTTAGGTCTTAGTTTTTGCTGCTGGCTACTCACTGTCTAAATCAGAACAGATAGTAAGTAGCATAGCCAATCAGAGGACAACATTCTTGATAGTATGCTACTTGATTTATGTTAGGAGGTGATAGCTGATTTGGCTTTTGGCCCTATAAACTATGACCTCATAGAAATCTTGAAATCATTTTTCACACTTTTTTATTACTTGAAAAAAAGTAATATGTTACAAGTACACATCTCACATTAAAGAGGCCCTGTTAGGGGTAAATTCCAACAAGTGACATGGCCTTGAAATGGCGACATGAGAGCCACGAACTGGCATTGAATACCAGACTGCTTCAGCGAAAATATAGGGAAAGCAACACCAATGGCAAAATAGACCGACAACAAATTTTGGAATTGTGAATGCAGTGAATGTTTTTAACATTTGAATGTACATTATTTGTCAATAACGGTTCAATAACCAGCCCCAACGAGGGTCTTTCTCCCAGTGACCAAGGGAGGCAGAGGAGAGAGAGCCTGGGAACAAGGTTGCTTAAAATAAATGCATGAGAAATAATAGTTTCAGCGTGAGAGTGTACAATTGAATTCTCTTGCGCGAGTCTCATGCTCATTTACTATGCGTGAGACTTGAGAGCACTGTGTCAGTTTGATTTTTTTAAAATAAACAATGATATTTTGATGTATTATATGCGTGGCTGACAGACAACATAGGAACCTTACGAAATGCCGCCACAGCTGCTTGCAAAATTCAGACAGGGGACATGGGTATCCCCCCTAACAGGGTCTCATTACTACTAACAATCATGCCCACTAACTACTAGCAATCGAGGTCATAATAGAGTCTTTAATTAGTTTTTACTATACTTATTCAGATATAATCTTACACCCCCCAAGGGGGGAGGGGGGAATGGGTAAAAAAAAAAACTGGCATCCATTATCAGTATTACAATTATTATCATCATTATTAATCTTCAATTTGTGCGGTGTCGGAATAGTTCTTACCAAAATTGTAGTGTTTATATAAGGTAACCCTGATAAGCAGGAAATGACATATCTATGCCATGCAACTCTTGTGTTCCACACAAGCAAAGACANATTATTTGTCAATAACGGTTCAATAACCAGCCGCAACCAGGGTCTTTCTCCCAGTGACCAAGGGAGGCAGAGGAGAGAGAGCCTGGGAACAAGGTTGCTTAAAATAAATGCATGAGAAATGATAGTTTCAGCGTGAGAGTGTACAATTGAATTCTTTTGCGTGAGTCTCACGCTCATTTACTATGCATGAGACTTGAGAGCACTGTGTCAGTTTGATTTTTTTTAAATAAACAAAGATATTTTGATGTATTATATGTGTGGCTGACAGACAACATAGGAACCTTACGAAATGCCGCCATAGCTGCTTGCAAAATTCAGACAGGGGACATGGGTACCCCCCTAACAGGGTCTCATTACTACTAACAATCATGCCCACTAACTATTAGCAATCGAGGTCATAATAAAATCGTTAATTAGTTTTTACTATACTTATTCAGATATAATCTTACACCCCCCCAAGGGGGGAGGGGGGAATGGGTAAAAAAAAACTGGCATCCCATTATCAGTATTACAATTATTATTATCATTATTAACCTTCAATTTGCGCGGTGTCGGAATAGTTCTTACCAAAATTGTAGTGTTTATATAGGGTAACCCTGATAAGCAGGAAATGACATAT